TCTAACCGTTTGGTTAGAGCATAGGCTTTTACCCACTTCAAGCTCATAACTGTCAGTGGTAACTCCATCGGACAGTCCACGTATTGCTTTAATTTATGATGAGATGGATCAGTTTCTAGTCGGAGATTTGGAGGAACGGTTGAAAAATGACTCGTTAACAGGTAAAGAAGCAGTCCTTAAGACACTATTGGGCAATCAAGTGGGAACGTGACAGAGCGGATGACGAGGCGTCAACCGCTTCAGTAAGAGGAAGTAAAAGTGTTTCAGGTGTATTCAAGTCCAAGTTACTCGTAATGGTTTTTTCCAGTCAGCAACTCCAACCACTTAACTTTCAAAAAGAAAAACAAGGATATCCTTATCTAACCTAATCGACAATAAAGGAGCTTTCCACAGTCGCTTCTCACAGATATGCAACGTCAAAGTCATTACTGAATATTGTACTCAACTCGACTCAAAGCTTTGCTTGAACAGGATCGCTATGATGAGCAGATACCTAGGTGAGGTATTGCCATTGTTAAACACAAAATACTACATAGATGCCAATTCGCATTCCACGTTTCTTAAAGCACGATCTATCAAGACCTTGGAAGAAACCTAGACACCAAAACTGCCACTGCTATCACTGCTGCTGCTGCTGTGGCTGTTTGAAGATGGGAAAATACATTTATTCCTAGACCAAGAACAGCCAACTCATCCGAGAGGTGATTTGATAGGATATGTTACTACAACCTAATCAGGACCTCATGTCGCATGTTTGTTGCACCGGTCGCAGGTTGGGAAGTTGGAGTGTTGCGTAAATGGAAGGCATCAGATGTCCGTTTTGCCTTTTTTTTCAGATTGACAATGTAGAGGAGGCACCACTGTGTAATGAAGAGGTAGGCGTATCTCATGTTTGGCATTTACTTTAGCACATTACACCCCTCTCGATTTCTTTACAACCCCTACCATTTCGGTCTCACGGTAATGACTTGATTGCGTTTACATAAATGTTTACAAAAATGGCTCATTAAAGTAGTCGCTCATTAACTGACATTCGCCTTTCTACTTCTGCAAACTCCTTCCCTTCACGTACATAAGTAATCCGTACACTTTCATTCAAATACGGATAGCCGAGAGGTGACACCTTAGCATGGTCCCCTTTCTTGCTTCTTTGCCTCTAATGACCACTCAACCGGTGCAAATGACAGGTGGAAGTTGTTTAAGCGTGTTTTCTGCATTGCAATCCTCCTGATAATGTACATTTCATATCTTCCATAACAACTCCACCTATTCGGCTAATTGGTGATAATTGGAGACCTAGCCATGACAGAAATCGCGTCTCCTTTGTCGTTGCGCAGAGACCCCTCATTCGGAACGCACGATTACGATGGAGCGCGTATTCACGGGGCTATTAGGAGGCGAAAAAGGATGTCGTGTCTCCTCAAATTTACCCTTCCAATGACTACACAATTGCTTACTACGGTCTCCTGCATCTGTATGGCACAATGATTTCACTACCACTGGGGGCATCCAGAGCTCTCTTCCCTTTCTCCAAGATCTGCAGAACTACAGCCACTACATTCTGTACCCAGCTTGCGTCTCTAGGAGATGAACGAAGATGAGCCAAATCTGGTAGGACCTACTAAAGAAAAGGCACTTATTAACTGCAGAGAAAGCGCTCAACGATGAGACGATTGTCACCTTGATTCAATGCTTAAGTTGCATAAAAGGAAGCAGAAATCCAATCCCCTACCACGCTCAGCCTACCTGAAGAAGTTCCAACCTTGACAGGCAAAACATCAGTTCATTTATAATAGTTATTAACTAATAGTCCGCTGGTATGGCAGCCCACAGTCCGGTTCCGTGTTAGACGGCTTCGACACTCACACAAGTCCTTGTCAAGCGTAGCCACTACTGTGGCTACAAACATGCACGTGTCAAGCGTTTCATAGGGACGTAAAAAACTCTTTTTTTATAAAATAATGACGCCCTACTCAAAATACTTCATATTGGATGGTAAATATCTGCAAAGGCTATTAAAACAGTAGGCAGAAATATCGATAAGGTGAGCAAATCAGGAGTTTCATTTAAAAATTACTCGTTTGTGAGATGCAAAAGTTAAAGACCGATTAATTTGTTTACTATTACCATTACGGTGTTGTACCTTTTACCACTGAAGAGAGCTATTTTGTGCATTACTTATGTAAACCAGATAGCAAGGAAGAATGTGGGATGTCTAACTATATCGTGAATACTTACTGTAACTCCCTCTGAATCACTAAAAACCTCCAAATATACACAAGACTGGAGGGGGTCAGCATTATCAAAGTACAGGAGGGTGGAGAGAGCAGCACCAGAGCTCCATGGCACCAGCATGGCACCCATAGTCAATTACAAGATGGGAGCGGTGTCAACTGTATTCTACATAATTCTAGCTTTTCCACCGCATATCCCATTTCTACTTAACTGCAGCAAGTACACATTCTGACCATCTCCATTGCACCTACAGGTTCGGAGGCTTCTCACAGCCCAGGAGCCACCGCATTCACACTCACTCACATCCACTCGTACACATGGTATGCACCTTCATGCATCACACTAACGAATCTACGACGGCAGGTTGCACCCTCTTCGTGCGAACCTAGTAGCAAGTTAACACGATCCACCACTCGACGAGACTCCTCTCCTTGTCGACCCCACACCACCTACGGGCTTGTGCCTACAGACTTCACTCCACCACTTGACCAAATGTTCCACTTGCCGCAACCGTCGGACACTATGCCACGCACACTGTCCATTTGGCCACACAAACTTCGATTGCATTTCCTTTCAAAAATGCAAATAACTTCTCTCATGCATTCTGTCTCCTCCTCAGTACTTCGGCATAAGAGGAGGATGATCCGGCATGATGTTGCGAACTTACCTCATTTCTTTGGGCAGAGCTTCATTGCTATGTACCGGAGAGGGGCAAATGCTCTGCCTTTGTGTGTAGGGCAGGAGTGGACAATATCTCCAATTGTTGCACGGCGTACCTCAACGTGGACATGAGGCAGCAAGGAATGGTGGCCTCAATGCAATGGGAAGGTTTGGATTACGAGGTGGGATCTACAAAGGACGCTGCTTCATAAAAGTTGCTGCAAAGTGCTGAAGCAACTGGTCACGGTGAAATGATGGATTATGTGCAATGCCAACATTGGTGAGGCGATTGCCTCGTCACCTCAGTAAAGTGTAATAACACCACTTCTGCGATGGAAGCGAGTAAAAGAGGAGTTGTGAAGCCAGGTTCCACCTTTCCTCTCATAGACTTGTGATTGTTGGTTAATTCCTCAGTTCCCTCCACCAATACACCAGCAATGTCTACCTCCACGGTCCGCAGTGTTGGTAACATGATAGAGGATCGAAAATGACTACTACGCGATTGCAGGCTCCTCAACCAGTCCGCTCGTCCAGCTGTTGGCATTTCAATGCCATAGCTTCTGCCACAACAGCCGAGAAACGGCTTTGTGCCCTTTCCAACCCCAATGACTTGCACATTAGATAAGGTTGTCTGTATTATAGAGTTTTTCTCCAATCAAAGTAGGTAGACCTTCTCATAACCCTTTTCCACAGTGAGCTCAAGCTTATTTAAATTCACGCCGACCCTCTGAACCAGAATGATACCTTTTAAACTTGAGTATTTGAGAGCAATTAAGGTTGTCAATTAAATGTTGTTGAGTGAGGTCAGACCTCACCACGTGGAGTTAACAGCCGGACTCAGAGACAGGGCTTAGGTCGCGTGTGGCATGTTACGCTGAGTCACAAGCGGGGACCGCATAAGACCTCACCTCCACGCCCCAAAATCAACGCGCATAATCGAAGTTGGTTGGCCAATGCATTACAAATAGCTGTAGTATGTTTGTTGATCCAGTTGATTAATTTTCGAATGAAGATTGCAGAGGACTCACTTGAATGTCCTCTTATCCGATCACAGTGGATCAAAATGGAGTTTGACAAAATCGTTCTGTTTCCCCTATAAGACATACTGATAACACCGACAGCCAGATGAGGCCATAGGGTGTACTAGCGTTGAGGG